TTAATTAAGGTTATTTGATGTAAAGCAACTAAGTAACCAATAATAATAAAAGAATCATGTTGTATTTGGACAGGTTTGTTTCATTATTTTTTATTTTCTTTTACCAAATGTGCCATGTTTGTTTTATTTTTCAGCTAATGGGTTACTTCAAACTTCAATAGGAGCTGCAAATATTCTATTCAAGAATTTTCTGATATAGATTCCATTTGTATTCTTTTCACTTTTCCTTTACATTCTCTACGCGCATGCTTTCAGCACAGAACAAAAGCCTAGCTGGGTCCTCTCCCTCTTGTCACCATCCTGTCCTGTCCTGATATAACATACACATATAACTTAAATTGAGAGACTTTTACATATCAGTCATTAGATGGTTGAGATTGCACTGTGATACCGATATAAAAATCTAAATGGTTCACATGCACAGTTGTTAATTAGCATGATTCATCCAACAAAGTTCTTTTTTTTGGGTTAATTAGCATAATTAGCATGCAGTGATTTTATGTGGAGTCCAAGCAATCACCATGTCGTTCAGTAGACCAACAACACTAATCCCCCAAAATTTAAGCTATCAAAGAATGAGTCAACAATGTGTATATCAAGTTTACACCCTGCCTCACCCTTTTGCAGCGGCTAGCCATACCAAAAGAGACAATCGTATATAAGCGCAACCCCTTCAATGCACCCTGAAAACCAAGAAAAAAGTGGGGAATAAGAGGATTGAACAGAAAACCTCTTGCAAACTAGTTCAAACATCAATTTAGAACCAATAGCGCTAAAAGTTTAAGCTATTAGAGAATGAGCCAACAACGTATATCAGTCTATATCACAATCATAATCACAAAGTCACTAGAGCCAACTGCTAAACAATACCAGCTATGGCCAACCAGCCTTACAAATGAATATTGTGGCCAAACTCAAGTAACTTTACAATATATAATTAAAAATAATCATTTCATGGCCAGGCTTGCCAATGAAATAAAAGTTGTTCCTAAATGATGTGCTCAACAAGCATCACACCAAAAAAAAAGACATCCTAAACCAAACATTGAGAGAGAGAGGCCTGAATTGCAACGGCCAACAGGGAAAGATTCTAAATTCATCTTTTTGGGGTCAACCACAACAAACTAGTTGGCATGAATTTAACTTTTCTTTTTCTAACTGCAATTTGTATGTTGCCTAATCTTGGCAGGTCTGGTTTTATCATGTAGCTAGGACGGCTTCATGGAACAGCTTTAGCTCATTACAATATTAAAACAAATTTGGACAAGATTTCAGCAACAAAGTAATAATCACACAGATCAGTGACGATCATGTTGATAATTTCGTAAAGAATGTCAGGAAGATTTTTCCAAATAATTAAAGTTATATTGTCATGAGATCACAGCAACTATCATAATGAGTCCATATGGTCCTCACAATAGTATATAATAATTAAGTTTCCAATGCCATTAACACAAATTAGTATGAGAATCTCTTCCCATGTGCCCTGCCATAATTACCTGAATTCACATAGAGCTTCCTTCTTTTGTTATGTTATCTGCAAATAATACAAGCCCTATGATGAGTTGTAATTTGGTTGCTTTTGAACCAGAAATTTCATATGCTTGAGGATCATATGTCTCCACTCGAAACCCTAGTGTTAAAATTATCTAGTTGTTACAGAATCTGGAAAGTCACTATCATCTACATGAAGATGAATATTGAACTCTCTCAATCAAACAGACAGGAAACAAGATCCATAAATAGGGTTAAGGAAGTGGTCCCTTGCCCTAGACAGGGGAACTCTCCATCATGCTGGAAGGAAGTATAATTTTATCAGAGAAAGAAGAAAAGTAACAATTAGATAATGTTGGGCAGAGAAGCTCAACTAGCAAGACCACATGGTATGGGACACAGTTCACAAAGGCCAATCCATGTCCAATTGGCATCCACAATGTTTCCCCTATCTTCTTCAATTGTGGGGCACATCCCTGCAAATTTTTCTGTGGTATGCCATTGACAAGTCCAAACTTAGCTAACTAGGCAGATTGCAGGACCTGATTTTGCAATGTGGGATTATGTAACCCTTTTGACTAAACCATCTAATTCTTGTCTCAAATCCGACCAATTCTCATGTACAAGATCTTTCCAAAGATTGTGACCCAAATTTTGTTGCACATATAGATCTTCTTCTTCATATATCTTAATAAAGATGCAAACTTGCACATTTGATATTAAAATCTCTCTGATGTGCTGTATATGATCAGGTGTGCCAAATTACAAAGATATATAAAATAATTAAAATAATTAAAAAAAAGTTGTCCGCAGGTTATTAGATTCTCGATGCAAAGTAAAAGTAATAAGTTATTGAAACATTATTATCGAGATGTGTTTCGAGGAGAATATGATAAAACTAACCCAAGTGACTGAATAAAAGTTTGGTTCTTTTTTCTTAGTGACATTGGAGAAGTGGATTTGGAGCATTGCATGTGAGCAAAGGTGGAGGGAATCAAAAAAGATTGGATAAGGGAAAAAACGTTCTGGTCACCAATTTGTATTGTCCACTATAAAGAGAAGAAGAGAAATGTCCATGATTTTGATTGGACCAGACAATAAACAATGGAGATAATCCTAGCTATCAGATGTTTGCAGAATACAAGACTGACTTCAGTTAATGTTATGTTCTTGGTTCATTGAATCAGCAAACCAGCAGCAATGGCATCAATTGGCCTTGTGATTTCAAGCGCATTCACTGAATGGGAAATTTAATAATAGCCACACATGAATAGGAATGAAGGTAAGTGAGACATATAATTATAGTCTATAGAGAAAACAAATAGTTAAATGTACACAAATACAAGGACTATGAGATTCACCTCTTTGCTATACATCCACCAAGTTGCTATGAGGCTTTTTTTTATAATCCTTTTCTTTCTTTTTCACTTTGAAGAAGAAAGGGATGCAAGTTACACTAAGGAAAGGTCAAAATGAGATAGAGAATATTCTTAATTAATCTAATTTCTGAATTTTTAGGTATTAGACTATAGATTTTAATGTAGAATTCACATATGTTTTGATTCCTGATGTGTTAATAAACGCAATGAAAATTAGGAATGAGAATAATTTCTTAGTACTAATACCCATGTCATAATAAACACATGAAAATTTAAATCCCATTGCCTACTCCAAAGGCTGTACCCAAATTATGTTCACCCAATTTGTTTTCATTTGTTCGGTATCACTTAATAATTTCTCTAAACATAATTTTTTATTTATTTAAGTGAAAGCTAAATACCACTTCACTAACATTTCAAAGCCTTTTTAAAACCAAAGAACAAAACGAAAAAAGAGTGTTACTTTGAACTTTCACGTACCAAGCGAAGAATATGTTATAAGAAAAGCTCAATCTTTGACCATTTATAAGTTCTTGTTACTGGTTATGTTTTCCTTGAAATAAAAATAAAAGTTGTATGGTTCCATATTTAACCGTTTGATTTAGACGTGTCGGGAACGGAAAATGATGTGTTGGTGGGGGCGGTGGTGCTGATTCAAAAGGGGGTTACACGAGAGAGAGAGAGAGAGAGTGGGAAGTCGTAGCAGACTGAGCTTGGCTTTTTGTGTTTTGTGTAGCTCTGGTGGCTGTCAAAGATAAGCAAACAGCTCATCTTTTTATGGGTGGTCTCTTTCTGGGCTATTAAGCTTTGTGGGGATCTCTAAGGATATCGTGCTTTCATCTCATGCAGTGTCTCTACACATTGTGTTTGTTTGTTTGTGCCACTGAGATTGATTCCTGGTACTTTACCAAACTGATTTGAACAAGGAGAAACCAGTGCTTCCACTCCTACATTTTTAAGGCGGGTTCTTCAGACTCTCTCTAAATCTCTTAGCTTCGGATTCAATACATACTTTTCTCTCCTTATCTCCTCCTTTCTTTGTTTGCTTAATGCTTTCATACTGTCATTTAGTTTCTGAAAGTTGAGAAATTTTTGCTGAGTTTGGTCTCTCTGGTCTTCATTTGAGGTGGGTTTTTGGTTCTTCCTTGTTTATTTGGATCTTGGGTTGTTCTAGATTTTCTTGCATTTATTGTAATATATGGCAGAGGGTATGTATTTGGTTTGCGTATTCAACCTGTGCATGACGGCATGTGTTGCTTTGGGTGGAATTTCAATGCTTTATTTGGTAAACGACATGGGATGTTCTCGGGTTTGATTCTGTGTCACATTCTGAGTTATAAATCTGATGGTCTTTCCTTTCCACTTGTGGTTAGAGACAAACGTGTTGGTATTTGATACTGATGCTCGCGTGTACACCCCAAAAATTGATGCTTTTTTGTTGGTTAATTCAACTAAGATCGAGATATGTTGTTTTGCTATTGCAGGTGTTCTAACTTCAAAGTGAGGAAGGAACATTTCTGTAAAGGAATGAGGATTGTGGGTTTCGGGTTCTGAAACTTTGTGGGCCAGAAAAAGGTCTTGGTAGTTTTTGACCCTTTGGAAAGACAAAACAAGGAACTGAGAAGGATAAAACAAATAAGGCAAGGGCGGTCCCGTGTCAAGTTTTAAGGGGGGTTTTTTTTTTTTTTTTTTTTTTTTTTTTTTTGCTTTGAGAATTATGTATGTTTGGGATGGTCAGTTGGTAATGGCTTATGTCTCCTGAGCTGGCCTTGTTTCTCCGGGGTCCTTGGGTTGTGTAGCCATCTCAGGAAGCAACCCCTCCTTTTGGTCTCTTTTCATTCAAGTGAACAATTTGTTAAAAATCACTTAATCGCATTTACTCTTAGTTTCTTTAGCCTTGTTTTGTGTGAAAGATTCGGTCATACTAAGAAGAACACCAAATTTTCCTAAGATCTATTCTTTTTAACCTTGAACATCCAAGATATTCAGCTGTTTAATCACCACTTTTGGGGGTTTCCTTATATTTTCTGGGGAACTTTGATATCGAATTGGCGGTGAAGACATTTGCAGGCTTAGTAGAAATCAAGAAGAAGGAAAACATAGCAGCAGATCTCTTTCTTGCCAAAAATGAAGTTCATGAAGCTTGGATCCAAACCTGATTTCTTCCAGACTGATGGAGACAATATAAGGTGAGTATAAGATCTTGCTAATAACCCAGTTGCTAACTTGTTAGTATATTTAGCCCTCTTCATCTTTTTCCTTGATATTTATATGGGCCATTGTTTGGGAGATATTTATCAATTTACTTTTCTGAAAAGTCAGATGTAAATTTTAAAAGCTTTAGTGGAGGCACAAGGTTATAAGTAGAACTGTGAATAATACAGTTCTGACTTTAATTTTCTCAACATGGATTTGGTAACAATTCAAAATGTCTTAATAGTCCTGTTCATGTTTAGGCTCATTGACTTTTTCAAGCGTTGATCTGTTGTCTGTGTAGCTACATGAGGAACTAAGATTTCACTTCAACTGTGTCATTGTAGGTTTTGACTTTGAGGATGGAATAATATACGTATGTAACTTAATAATGTATTTATGTATATATGTATGTATGAGCATACGTACATATACATTCTGTATGCTCCATCTGAAATTACTTTTCCTTGTTGGGTGCCATCCCACTTTGATAAGGGAAATTAATTTCATCCATGAAAGTTGATCATTCACTGTTAATGTTCAACAATCTTTTGCTTTCTAAACTAGATTTGCGAAGTTATGGTCAAAATAAAAGGTTATGGGCAGGGAAGTCTGTTAAAATTAAAAGAAAATTTACATGATTTCTGTATAACTTTCTGTTTAACAAAGCCAATGTAATTTCTAATTTTTGTTATTGTGTTTGCTTAGATTATTCTCATTCAAGTAAGGGCATAGTTTTCGTCAAGTTTGTGGCTGACATGTGAAAATTTGTGCACACAGGTACGTCGCAACTGAGTTGGCAACTGACATAGTTGTTAACGTCGGAGATGTGAAATTTTATTTGCACAAGGTATAAAATCTGTTTGATCTTAAACAGGATCCTATATTTTGGTCAGTAGCTTGTTAATTTCTAAACATTTAATATGGATTGATGGGTAGACAGTAATATACTTTTTCTGAACTCATAACCCAGCTAGGTGAGAGGGTCAATTTGTTCCAATTTCAGAGTTGCCTGACTAGGGATATACACTATCACGTGATTCTCTCTAATTATATTCCAAGGCGACAGAGTTTTGATCCTATTAAACCCATTTTTCACTATTGCTTTGTGTCATTTAATTCACCCTAGTTAAGGCTGGGTTCAAACCATTGCAATGGCATCTTCTTGATTGCCAAACGCAACAAGCCAAACTAGAATTGGATTAAGACACAGTGATGGGGTTTTGGGATACCAACAATTTTTTAGTTGGTAAGCACCTTAATGCATTCATTCTAATATTCTTTGATGCTTCTGTAGTTTCCGCTTTTGTCCAAGAGTGCACGCCTGCAGAAACTGGTCGCAACCACAAATGAAAACAGTGATGAGATCCGCATCCATGATATTCCTGGTGGACCTGCTGCTTTTGAAATATGTGCCAAGTTCTGTTACGGCATGACGGTCACTCTCAATGCATACAATGTGGTTGCAACTCGATGTGCAGCAGAATACCTGGAGATGTATGAAACTGTTGAGAAAGGAAACCTTGTCTACAAGGTTGAAGTCTTCCTAAACTCTAGCATCTTCCACAGCTGGAAAGACTCAATTATTGTTCTTCAGACTACCAGGTCTCTTCTTCCATGGTCCGAGGAAGTTAAGGTGGTGAGCCACTGCCTTGATTCCATAGCTTCCAAGGCTTCCATTGATACCTCCAAGGTGGAATGGTCATATACATATAACTTAAGAAAGCTACCATCCGATAATGGGAATGAACACTGGAATGGTGTGGGAAAACAACAGGTAGTTCCAAAAGACTGGTGGGTAGAAGACCTCTGTGGGCTTCAACTTGATTTATACAAGCGGGTGATAAATATAATTAAGACCAAGGGAAAACTCTCTGGTGATGTAATAGGGGAAGCCTTAAAGGCATATTCTACCAGAAGGTTATCAGGTTTTAGCAAGGGTATGATTCAGGGTGGTGATGTCATAAAGAATAGATCATTGGTGGAGACTGTAATCCACTTACTTCCTGCAGGCAGTGTCCCTTGCAGTTTCTTACTTAAGTTGTTAAAAGCAGCAATATTGTTAGAATGTGGAGAAATGGAAAAAAGTGAATTGATTAGCAAAATTGGTCAGCAGCTTGATGAGGCTACAGTTTCTGATCTTTTAATTCAAGCCCCAACTGAGGAAGCATTGATGTATGAAGTTGATATAGTGCAAAACCTAATTGAGGAGTTTGTGACCCTTGATCGAAGTGCTCAAACTGATCCTTCAATGGAAGCTGAATTCCAGGAGATTAGAAGCCCCAGGTTCCTATCAGATACTTCCAAGGTGAAGGTGGCAAAACTGGTTGATGGCTACCTTACTGAAGTTTCACGTGATCCCAACTTACCTGCATCGAAGTTTGTCAGGCTTGCTGAAATGGTATCAAACTTCTCAAGACCAACCCATGATGGACTTTATCGTGCCATTGACATGTATCTAAAGGTTAGTCATGACACTTTTGTAACTATAACTAACAAATTGCATTTTGTTTACTCCTCCATTTCTCCCCTTTCTTCTTTTTTCTTTTTTTGGGTTGTTGAGACTTCTTTGTATATTTTTTCTCCAAGGCATCCTGCACAACTGCCGGTAATCATTGCTCACCATAAAAAATACAAATGTTTAGTTTTTGTTTATTATGTTTCATGACTTAAATTTTTGTAAATGCAATTTCTAGTCGATGTGTGCGACTTACATACAAGCACATATAGCAGGGTACTTCTCAGTTTTGAACACATTTGTGTAACCGATACATTGTGTGTTGGTGCAGGAACACCCAGGGATCAGCAAGAGTGAGAGGAAGAGAATATGCAAATTAATGGATTGCAGGAAGTTGTCAACAGATGCCTGCATGCATGCTGTACAAAATGAGCGGCTGCCCTTAAGAGTCGTTGTGCAGGTCCTTTTCTTTGAACAGATTAGGGCTTCAGCATCCGGTGGCAACAGCACACCTGATCTACAAGGGTCCATAAGGGCCTTGCTCCCTGGTGGGTCTCATGGGAGCTCAAGGTCCACTACAACCAACACAGAAGAGGACTGGGATGCTGTGCCGACAGCAGAGGAAATCAAAGCTTTAAAAGGGGAGCTTGCTACTCTAAGGTTAGGTGATGTGAATCGGGGAGTAGGCAATGATAGAAACGCGAATCACGGTGCCACAAATAATTCTGAAAAAGTTGCTGCCAGTAAAATGAAAGGTTTGCTCATGTCAAAAAAGATATTTTCTAAGCTCTGGTCAAGCAAAGAAAGGAATGGTGAAATTAGCAGTTCTAACACATCGGAGAGCCCTGGTTCTACTTCTACCAATGCAGAAGAAACAAAATCCACCCGGTCGAGGAGTAGGAGGCATTCAGTATCTTAGTTCCCAGGCATGTTCAGTAGATCAAATGTATACATTCTTGACCTGTAACTCCATCTCACGTATTCGACATCAGGAGTTAGAATCAACTGACATGTTTTTAGCTGATTTTCCACTGGGATTTTATGCAAAAGAGGTCATATTGTTAGAGTAACAAAAGAGCCCAGAAATTTCATTTCTTATAAGAAGTGTTCATTATCTAATTGTTGTTCCCAGATTGTCTGTTGGTTTTCAGTTCTAAACTTCTAATGTGGGCTCAGATACTGACACAGTTTTGATGTACTATGATCTAAATAAACTTCTTCTTGTAGGTGCACATCTTCCTTGGGCTTTTATTTTCTACAGTGTAAATTGGCAATTGTTATCACTCATCTAATTCTTAATATGAGAAGAGCAACTGTTTAGTGCAATATCATTCTCATACACCCCAGTCCTTGAGTAAGGGAAAATTGCCAAATTAGCCTCTGCCATTATGTGGTTTCTGGCCCAAAGTTGCAGTCCTTTTGTAACCAAAGTTTGGTTGGTCCTGGCCCAAAGCTTCATGCATGATAGAAAAGTTTCGGTTCATAGGCCTCAGGGGCGGCCCTGAGGTGGTGCAAGTGGCGCCATTGCACAGGGCCCCTGAAAAAAAAAAATTTCTTTATATTATATATATTAATATTAAAGGAATTGTATATATAGTATAGCGTGCTGAATATTGCACAAGAGCGTGTCTGGGGGAGTTGGCTGTAGCGCATACCCATTTAACAAAAGTGCCAGAGTTCGATTCTTGTTGAGGTTGATCTAAATTCCTAAATTCATAAATACCACTCAAAATCAAATAGTCATATTCAAATCTCAATTCAAATTCAGGTATGAAGAACCAAGCCAGTCCATTCCATTGGATATTTATGATTCAAGAAATTGGTATAATATTGATCCCAAATTCCGTGACCTAATAGTGGAAAAAGGTCATGTAAGAGATCTGTTAATAGGAAAACGTCCTAAAGATCATTTACATAGACGTTTCTCTTCAAAATTTTACACTCATCATTTGCCAAATGGAGAGCAACATGATAGAGATTGGCTAGTGTATTCAAAGGATCTTAACAAAGTGTTTTGTTTTTGTTGTAAATTATTTTAAAAAGGGCCACAAAAAAGTCAATTAGCAAATGAGGGATTTAAAGATTAGATACATCATAGTGGCAAACTTAAAGAGCATGAGACAAGTATTGAACATATCAAATTTTGGCAAATTTTGATAGTATTTTCGTATTAGATTATGTGATGCCCCAATTTAAATTTCGCACAAGGCCCTCAAAATCTCAAGATGGCCCTGATAGGCCTTACGACTTTTTGATCAAATCCTGAGGCTTCCAATCAGTCAGTGAAACAGCTCAAACTTTTCTTTTCGATCCCCCTTGAGAGTGGATTTTCTTCAGTGCAGTGCTGCACTTGGTGCAAACGCACTTTCACGTCATCCGACTAACATTGCTCCCTCGAAGTGGTAACTTGAGTCACCGCGGACTAGTATATTACCACTTCAAGCATAATACTACTGCTCCAAGCACACACACTACCACTCCTAGCACATACACTGCCACTTCAAATATAAAACATTACCGTTGTTCGCACTCGGTGCAATGAAGCACCGAAGAAAGCACGCCTTGTGTCCAAGGCCAAAGATAGTCCCTTTTGGACCAAGATGATCCTATTGTTTGGTAAACATCTGAACTTTTCATGTTCTTCTATGTTGACCCGTTGGGGCCCTGGAAGGTTGAGCCCAGTCTAAAGTGATTGCAGCCGAACAAGAAATCATCTTTATTGACCAATGACCACACAATCAAAAAGCCAAATATGGAAACGGAGAAAAACAATGCTGGCATTTTCTACCTAAATGGGTCATACCCATCCCATTCAATCAAACCCGTGGAAGGCTTTGGTTAGCCCACGCTTACTTTACCCCTTTCGGCAGTGTGGCCCAACCATCAAGTGCCGCCACTTAAGTCCCCCCATCCAAATGTTCATTATCGAATTTTTATTTTTTCTTTTTCTTTTCTCCTTTCCAACAACTGCCGTCTATAAATTTTTAAAGGGGTTTTAGGTCTAATAGTTTTTAAATTTTGACTTGATTCACATTTTGGTCCCTTAATTTTTAAAATCATTCTCGTAGTCCTTTAACTTCACTTTTGTTAGGACAAATGGTCCTACTGTCAATTTTATTATTCTTTATGTTAAATGCAGGGGCAAAATGGTTTTTTTTAAAAAAAAAAATTAAATTAAATTAAATTTCCACCATCTGGATATTCCTTTCACCCACAAAATAAAAACTAAAAAACCTACTTCCTATCCTCGCCATCGCAAGGAGGTGGGTATGGTTTTGGGTGGGTTGTGGGTTGTGGGAGCGCCATTAATTGTTGCCGGGGTGGTGGGTTAATTGGCTCGGTGTCGGGTGGAGGTTGTCCATGGCTTTGTTAGAATATTCAAATGGTGAAAATTAAAAATAATACAAAAATACCATTTTGTTGCATTTAACATAAAAAGTTAACAAAACTAACAGCATTACCATTTGTCATAATGAAACTAAAGTTGAAGGATCACGGGAACAATTTTGAAAATTGAGGGACCAAAATGTAAATCGGGTCAAAGTTAAGGGACTATTGAACCCAAAAACTTAAAACTCCTTCTAACATAGTAACAAAAGTTGTCGATTAATTTAACATAAGTATAATGCTCTCTTATCAGATATTTAACATGGTATACTGGGAGATTGTTAATTTAAATTGTAAATTTAATATATAAAAAAATCATCTAACCAAATGATTCAAATTGTTAGTCAAACAACATTATATGTTAGACTATATGTCAAGGAAAACATTTATCCTAACATAAGAATCCAAAAATCTTCTTCTGATTTGGAGTTAGGCAAGATGGTGTCCGACTATATGTCAAGGGAACATTTATCTTAACATAAGAAACCAAAAATATTCTTATGATTAGGAGTTAGGCAAGCAAAGTCAATGTAGGTTTTTATCATCTCCCCTAATATTTGGGATGGGAAAAGAAAAAAAAAAAAAAAATAAATAAAGCAAAATCCATTTAAGAAAATGGAACACCTCAAAAGAAGATGCTCTTCTAACCAGTCTTTCATTTTGTATTCCACCTAACATAAACAAAAAGGACTTTAGCCGTTTGGCCATTGACTTGCCAACAAGACCAGCAAAGATAAGGCTAAACTAAGCCGACCAAAAAATTTTTGACCATATTTTCCACTGGTAATTTCTTTATCACTGTCTTCACACCTATACATAAACAAAACCACACCAAGAAATAAAATAGGGGGTCAACCCAAGAATGACTTGACAAAAGCAACTCTCACCTGCTCAATCTCTTTCCTAGCCTTTTCGATATGTAGGTGGGCAGCAGCTGCATGTCTTTTCCTTTTTAACATCTTTTTCCTACTACACTTAAAAGACTAGAATTGGATAGTGAGAGCTTCCACCTATATATCTTACTTTATTAAATTAGGTTTAAGTTTCAAAAGAACCTTGGTTGATTAGAACTTTACCTAACATTTTCTCCAACTTACTTATTTCAAACTTTACTGAGTGTCTTGATAATCCTAAAATAATCAATCTCGTTGATACGTAATTATATTTTTACTTTGTTAGAAATTCTGTTACATCGTTGAGATGCATTATGTATGCATGTGAGTAGACATACATAAACAAAAACTATTACAAATGTACGTCCAACTTGTATTGGTTGAATGCGAATATGGACATACTTAAGCTTTTGGATTGGTTGTTCTTTTACGATTTATATCGATCTGATTCAGTTTTGATTTGCCTCAAAGTTCATTCATTCATAACCATAGTAGGTTAGTTATTTTATTCTATTTGCCTCCTCAATATATTTTTGAGGCCATACTTTTGGGTGTCAACAATCACTTTTTTCATAGCTTGTTCATTTTAATTAGGGCTTAAACGTCAGGGTAAGTGTTTGAAAAAAAGATACTTACAATGGTTAAATATGATCCACTATAAACATTACCAAATGGTTTAACCTTTTGGGTAATTATATATATCTTTATTCAGAATGCAGTTTAAATATAGATATTTGACCTAATTAACACACTCACATAAATTTGTCATTCAACCAATCCAACCCTCCGCCTCATCACCTCATAAATCATATGATCTTGATAGCAAAAACCCCGTGAAGGCCACAAGACTCATTTGATGGCACTCATAGCGTGCAACACCTATCTCTCTCTCTCTCTCTCTCTCTCTCTCTCTCTCTCTCTCTCTCTCTCTCTCTCTCTCACCCATCTCCCATTTCATGGATTCTTCACTGCCGAATACGTTTAATTATTTGTCTCCCTCTAAATGAATAATCGCATGTAGGGTTACACTTGAAATCACCATCCGAAAAAGAAATCAAACAAACAAACAAAAAGACACAATACTATTAAATATGTTGATAGTGGACTAACAACAACAACAACAATACTTATATTTGTCACATAGTTGGACCCCAAAAGAGAGAGTAAATCAAATTAAAATATATTAGCCCCGAGCTATCTTGAAGCACTTGCTAACAAACACTGGGGGCATGCGTGCCATTACTATATTCATATTCATAATGATATATTCAAGGATAATATACCATCACTTTTCATGCAAAAGCTTTTTGTCATCTTTTTTGCTATAGCTAGAGAAAAGGCCACGTAACCCATCAATGCACAATGGACCATCTCTCTATCTCTATTTTATTTGTGTATTTTCAATATATTACATATATATATTTAGAGAGAGAGAGAGAGAGAGAGAGAGAGAGAGAGAGAGAGAGAGAGAGTTCATAATTTTTATATAAAAATGTCACAATCCAAGGCATGATATGCACCCACCAAAATGTCCCATAGTCCAAATCAGAAGCACCATAACGAGGAGAGAAAGCGAAGGCTGCTGCTTAATGCTCCTATGGAGAAAAAAAATGAACAAGAAAGCAACCAAAAATGAAAGGTGCTGATTTGTTCACTTATACTTTTTTTTTTTTATATTTATTATTATAACATACAAGAGAACGTGTAAGTGGACAAAAGAAGAGTAGAAACATACAATTTTCAACAAAAAGAAATATAAGTGGACAAAAAAATAGTGGGAACATCAGCTCCGAAGTGAAAACTTTATACCACTCGTTATCATCTTTTCAGTGCAAATATATATAATGCGAAGCCCACATAGAAGCTAAAAGCCAAAAATCGCCCATCAATTTCATCATTAATCATATCTCCAAAAAAATAATAATAATAACAACCAACAAGCCAAAAAGCCAAAAAGAAAGAACGAAGAATCCCCCGACACCACCGAACCGAACCACAAAAGTTGAAAGTTCATCCGCGAAAAGAGTGCGCTCGCTGGTACTAAACATGAATATGTGAAATTAGTAGCACATCCTAGAAATGCCAAAGGGACGAATTTACCCATCATCATTTTACAGCCGAGACTAGTCCATTTCAAGCATTTTTTTATAGAAAAAAATTTATTCCCACTACCCCCTTAACTAGAAAGATGCAAAATCATAAGAATCTAATTAACCAAAAAGTGATTTGAGGAAAAAGGCTTCCCCCCCTTCTCTCCTAGACCTAATATAGCATATAATCAAATCAAGGACAAATGATTTGGTACCATTTCTATATGGCCCCCAAAAAGTGATTTTGGGTTGAGCTTTTTTGCATGCATAATTTTATAAAGGGATATTCCCATTACATAATAACACAGTGAGTGTCACGCAGGCCAAGATTTCCTCAATCTGATTTCGAGATCATAGAGAACCCTTTGTGTTTTTTTTTAAAAGTTGGTAAAAGATAGATAAGGAACCCCACATGAAACCAAAGGCTGCGTTTGGCTAGAAGAGGATCTAAAAAGCCACATCCATTTACAAAAAGTTACATGGCTAACCCAAAAAAAGAAAAAAAGAAAAGAAAAAAGTTGGAGGGGAGGTTTTTTTGGATATTCTCTTTTACAACTAAAAAAAAACCCCATATCTTCTTTTTAACTCTGTTCCCACCCCAACATTTGCTCAGTCTACCGCGTACCCACAAGGGCCAGGGATGCCCAAAATTTAAAACCCAAAATAGAAAAAGTTAAAATTTTAAAAAGAAGCAACAAAAAAAAAGAAGCTAATTTGGATTCTTTTACGTTATTAGAACTCTCTGGGGTCGACAAAAATGGACATCCCAGGTGGCGATTTGGTCCAGTCACCGACGGACCCGTCACTGTAGTCTTCCCCGAGCCGTTTGATGCACCACAAGTCCTCGTCGCACGATAGCCTCTTCCAGTGAGGAATTCCTAATCTCAGCGGCTCGCGTCTCGACACCTCCGTCGCCACCACCCCGCACCCGCGCTCCTTCGCCAGGTTGTGCGCGTGGCCGCAGAGCGCCTTCACGAACTTCTCCGCGCGTGGGCCGGATCCTCCGAGCCCGTACAGGAAGTGGAACCCGAACGGCCTGAACAGCTCCGGCACCGACGGCAGCCGCAGCCACGGTAGGGCCCGATCCACGATCCTCGTCGTCTTCGCGAGGGTCCGCTTCACGCGCGACGCGCCGCGGACCTCGAGGGTGTAGGCGTCCTTGCAGTTCCAGACGCTGAGGACGGCCCAGGACTCGGGCGGGTCGGCCAGGAACTGATCCGACCCGGGCCAGGTTCCGGCGGTGAAGGTACCACGTGGCACGGCGAGGAAGGTGCCGAGGGAGAGGCGGTTGTTGAGGACGGCGTCAATGTCACGGGGGAAGAACTCGGTGGTGGCGAATCGGCGGCGGTAGAGGGACTCGGCGTCGGAGGGGGAGAGCGTGATGACGTGGACGCGGGAGGAGAGCTTGACCCGGTGGGCGAAGACCGGGTTGACGAGGATGGCGGGAGTACGGAACTTGGAGTAGCCGCATTTGTCGGTGAAGAGGTTTATGGAGGGTTTGTTGTCGTTATCTGTGGCCATGTACGAATATTCAGCTCCGTTCTCTCTGAACCACTCCTCCACTCTGTGCACCAGCTTTAACCCTATTCCCATCCTCCTGTACAATTAATTAAAATAAATAAATAACTTTATTACATGAAAAATATCAAAACATAAAAACTTATTATTTTTTTGGGTGTGTGTTGGGTGGGATGATGAAAAAGGTGGGTGCGTTGGGATATTATTTACCTGTAAGAAGGAGAGACGCGGAGGCCTAAGATGTAAGCGAGCTTGGTGTAAACCGGGAGGGGCTTGAGGGTGTCGTCGAGTACGTCGTCGTTTTTGTTGTGATGGGTAACGTTTTTGCCATTTCTGGAGAGCTTCTTGCCACATGTAACGGTTTTGATGCAACCCCTAATCATTCCCACTACCTCTTTCTCCTCTTCTTCCTCCCCCACCAACTCAGCCACCTACAAAAATAATCACATATCCAAAACAAAACGACCATCAAATATTATTATTCGTACATACCCAAAAGTTAAAAATTGTTTTTAAAAAGGGACATCAAAAAATCAAATATTAAATAAAACCCACGTTAATATGGATGATTATTATTTACTTACCAACATGAGATAGGCCGGAGAGTGACGAACTCTGCAAATTGGGTCGCCGAGGAGGTCAGTGAAGAGGGAGAGCTCACCGCCGGGACCCACCTCACATCTCCTCTCGACTTCTTCAACCCCTTCACAGTCCGTGCTCGGGTCGAACTCTCTCAACACCACTATATTATTAACCTTCCTGCTATGATCCTCTACCATATTTTATGTGTGTGTTTATATATATATATATATATATATCGGTTTCCTCTACGTGGGTGTACCTAACAAAACGAAACTAAGCGTCACGGACTGCTCAGAAAACCCAGCAGAGAACAAAAAGGGTTGGTGTTTTCTTCTGGGTTTGAGGGTGTATATATAAAGGAGGAGGGCTGGGGTTTTTTCAAGGGCGCAAAATAGAGTGGAGGAGTGAGTGAGGTGGAGGCATAACGTGAGATGTAAGCAAGAAAAGCTGAGCTGAAGCTTCGAAAATGGAGAAAATCAAGGAGAGAGAGGACCTCACAGCTCACGTTTTGCTTCTCAGCACATCATAACAGAACCATATATAGGCCGGAGGTTGAGGCGGGCCCCAGCCAGCTCCAAATCAAAAACCCCCAAAACCCCAAATTCTTTTATAAAAATCAAAAATTAAAAAAACGAAAGGTTGGGGTAATGGTTGGGATTGGGATGGAACTTGGAGAGAGAAGAGAGAGAGAGAGAGAGGCGTTTTAAGGGTGTGCGCTTGTTCGTTCGTCTCCTTTTCTCATTTAGGTGGTGAGTAGATCATCATTGCAGAGATACAGCAAATGCCCTTCTGCCCCCCTTTAAATATCTGATTTTTGGGCTTTTCCTTTTCCTCTCTCTCTCTAGAATCCCCCCACCTTCTTTTTTCTTTTTCTTTTTTTCTCTTATTTATTCAGTTAATTTTAGTGACAAGAACCCAGCAACCTTTATTTAATTCGGTGCTTGCTGCTTGCTTGCTACCTATTTTATGTGTTTTTTCTTTTATCCCTTTCTCTTCTGTCCCTGTCTATTTAGCTTTTTCACTCTCTTTCCAACACTAGCACTACTATACGAATAAATAATAATAATAATGAGTTTAAGTTAATTATAAATACGCAAAATAGATATCATAACAAAAAAAAACTGATTTTCCCACTTATTTTTTATTCACTTACACTCATTTTATTAGAAATTATATGTTTCAACTCCTCTTTTGTCCACTTACACTTCCTTTTTTGTTATAATAAAACTATTAAAAAACAAAAGGAAGTGTAATTGAATAAAAGGAAAGTAGGAAAATCACCACCCAAAAAAAAACAAAGGAAAATACAGGAAATGACGGCTATGGCTGCGCGCAGTCTTAGAGTGGGTTTTTATTATTTTTGGGTTTTAATCATTTATTTGACACCGAAGGAGGCGCTCCATCATTACTCCATTTCTAATCATTATCCTTTTAAATTTAGTCCCCCACCCCCTCTCTTTCCCATCATGCATGACCATTATCATCATTATACCATCAGACATGTGGAAAATAATGGTTTTATTTTTTTATTTTTTAATAAGAGCGATATTTTAAACTCGAACACAATAAAAAGAACATATTGCATTGGCCAACTGACTAAATTCACATTAATCCACAAGTAAATATGTTGGTATTGTCATATTCTAATATGTTGGTATAGTCATTCTATGTTAATGATGCTATGACCAATGGGATGAATGGCTTTTAGATATTCCCTTGTTTTTTTTTCCTAACGCAAATTCGACGACGTGGCGCAACGTATGCCGTTCCTTTCGGGAGGCAACTCCCTGGATTCTCGGCCGTCGATTTTAATAGCTGCCTGACGCCCACTGATGCGTCCGAGTCTGAGTGTGAGAAGTGAGTGAGTGCTGTGCTGCGGCCCCTGCAAAAGCGGCTTTCGCTATAACAACTGACAGCGTGGCGTTTCTCGATCATCATCATCAATCCAGATGGACGGCCACGATTGTGTGATTCACGGACAGCTAAGCAGCGCAGGAGCGCAGTCCTACTATACTCGATGGGAAGCCTACGCTGATGCTAATTGATAAATCCGCAGAGGCTATACTGAAAAATAGACATCGACTTGATTTGAAAATGCGAAGCATCAACGGTCAAATCTCAACCGTCGTTTCTCTTTTTCGTGGAGTGTGCATCGTGGACGATGGACCGCCGGAGCACGGAAGTGCTGCCACTTAAATCCGCGGCGAGCATTTGATTGCATGCAAAAATAAAACGGTTTCGACAATGATTGGGTAATTCAAAGGAAGTAGACACGTCACCATAAATTGGGCGTACAAATTAATATTAATTGGGCAGTTCAATCATTTTTTTTTCTTTCTTAAAATTAAAACCCTGGTATAATATATATATATATATAACAAAAGATAAATAATTGTAAAACATTTAAAATACCAAAATAATATGGTAAATTCATACTTTTTCATATTAAAAAAATCAGATAATAAATTCTATTTTTATAGAACACAACTACTAATTATCTTTTGTAATTCTAAAATAACTTTAAATTTTTATAAATAAATAAAAGCAGGCACGGATGCGGAGATTATAAGTTAATAATACACATAAAGTTTTTAATGTTTTATTAAAATAAATTTTCTTTTGGGTTTTGAAAGGAGAAGTTGAAGTGGAGGCACAAAAGAATAGTGTAAATTTGATTTGTTTTCACTTTCCTGATAATGGGCTAAAATAATTGAGGCATTTTTATACACATTATTTTGGACACTAGATTAAATTATATTAGACATATAAAGACATTTTTGGTATAAGTTGGGGTGGGGGGCGTGCATATAACAAATGTATATATGATTGATATGCTAAATAAAGAGACATACAGATACATAGGTATTAGATTAAGATGTAGTGGGACCCTACTTTTTGTGGGTCCGGTTGGAATATCTGTGGGTCTACTAGTTTAAACTGAGTTAAACACACCTAGTTATATTGGATGACGTGGAGCACTCGTACGTGCATGGTTAATTTGACCGGACAAGGATTATTTGCTTCATTATGGGATTATGTTAAATTTGAATAGTAGTTGATGTAGTTAGGATAGTGATCTACATTGTCGACATATACAAATAAAATTTGAAAGAACAAAAAAACAGCAACAAAAGTTCCATTTTATTATAGTCAGTCCATTTTTTGCACTCGATGTCATCGATTCTTCTAAAAGCTAAAGAAAGATATCTAGCAATTTTGCTTGTAAAGGAAGAATACACATCAAGTACGCCCCTACTTATATATTGTGTTCTACTTCAATGGGGTCTTCCTTCTGTTCTTCTAATCTTGTCAATCTTGCCAAAGATTCCAAATTTGGTATTCTAGCTATCATCTAATTTTTAATAATCACTAGTGTAGTGGTTTGGAGCAATTGTTTTTCCAGTAAAAGTTCTGGGTTCGAGCCCTAGCATCCGTTTAGTATGTGTGAGTTCTTTAAAAAATTATTATTATTATATATACAATATGTGCAATATTTTGCGGTACAATTAGTGACATAAACGACCAATTTCTGTTAGAATTATTATATAAAAAAATACTAACAATATTGAATTAATGAAGGATCGATGATGATTAATTTATAAAAGTTTGACGAGATGACGAGATCAACGATGGTGGACTCATCTGTGAAGTGAAGAATATTAATCCACATCCATAGAATATGGTCAACTAACCACATAAGATTTGTAGCTTAAAATATTTAAAATGCTTGTTAATTAATTAATTAATTTTCTAATGATTTCTGGTCAAAAATAGAAGAAGCATATTACATGTACATGCTTTGAAAAACATTGTATATATATGGGATTAGAATAAAGTGACAATGATGTAAATAACCCATGATGATGATGGGATTCTCTTAATCTTCATTAAATTATCTATTTTAGCTTAACTAAGGGTGATCCTAAGAATCCAACTATGTACATCTATCCACCATATTATTCTGTCAATGCGATTATGGAGCCTCTATTGGAATATTGGGAATCATGGGCAATATTTGAAATGATTTTTATCCTCATAAAAAGTATTAGGACTTTTAATTATTGACTAAGTACTAATCTTTAGAATAATTCTTTTTCAGAGGATTAATGTCTTTTACCGAAGATTTTATTCAGAATCTCATTTACTAGTGAATAAACACGAATTAAGCTTCGATCCGATCTCGATAAAATTGATCCCCATGACGAAAGAGATGATCATGAGCATATATATATGTATGATACAAATATGAACACATGATTCGTGCGAAGTTTTTGGCTTTTGTTGCATATTATAGCCCCAATTTGTCCATTGATTAAGCCTTTTTTGGCCAATCAACTATAAAGCCCTTGAAAAGAATAACAATAAGAAATCAAAACAAGAGTTGGCTAGGTAGCTAGCTAGGGCATATGCAGGACCACATTGTTGTTTGAAGAGATTCTATGCCGTTCCCCTTCCTCATGGCTCTCATGCGCAAACTAGAAAATCACTTTGCATTAGTTAATATATTATTGGGCTGGTCAAAAAGAAGAACATGGGTCTGCGACACGTATCATGTTTACATGTTTCACCCTAGATGATAAAATAAATGGAAAAAAGAAAACAGTTAGGGACAAATGCCACGACAATTGCCTCGAAAAAATTTGTGTTTAGGGATCTTGTTCCCTTCCATTGTCATCAATCTTAGGCTCCGTACATGCCTTTTTACCCCATAATCATATATACATGTAGGGCAGGTGCCAAACACGTCCTAGCAGAATTAGGTCATGTCTCGTCTTGGACATCACATGGGGAAATCCAGAGCGAGAGGGGCGAAATCGTGTCAATATTTTGAAGGCCTAGGTGCATATAAAATTGGTACAACTAGGCAAACATGTTCTCCTCGATGATCAAGCAAATTGTCTTTTGCCCCAATGGAAAACGACCAAATAGCAAAGTTGTCTTTAGGGGTTGATTAAAAACTAATTAGGACAGTTGGAAAGTAGAATTTGAAGTTGACCCTTGAGGCTTTAGGTTTAATCTTTTTGGATTAGAGAAAATAATTAGTAAGTGGAGAGTGTGGCTCGAGGAAGACAGCTGCCATTGCCATGCAAGCTTCTCACTCACTGATGGCATGGCCTCTTCGTGTTTTTTTTATTATTCTGAGGTTGATAATTTGTGTGAATAAAAAAGGCAAGGTGGTGGTGGCCATGATCATTTA